CAGGGCATTTAGGAGAGGCAATTTTGCTTAATATGAAATGCAAAGACAGAGTACAGAAACAGATGAAATAATGCTCACACAAAAACTTGTTATTTGTAAACACCAAATATTGTTCTGAAAAGAGAACAATAAAAGCAAAACAATTAAAATAGAGAGGTTAAAATGAATTGCACTGATCTGTGGTGCTCCCTAAACAGGCTAAAAGCACTGATTAAAACAGGCCTGAGTATATAAAAATACAGGCAGCACCTCAGTCTCCACTTCCTGGGCAGTACTAGAAAGTCTCTTCAAAGCACAGCTTCTTAGAAATGGCTGCACCACAGGGACTCACAAATTACAGCTCTGGTGTAAAACATGACAGGCACTACACAAATTCAGTTTACCTGGGATGGATACTATCCAGCTCTGTCTTTTCCCAATTTCTGCAGTATAAAATGTGCAATGAAATTTTCAAGTTGTGTACTACAATCTATGTGGGGGGAAAAAAACCCCAACCAAAAATCCCTTTGCACTGAACCCAAAGGGCTGTGCTTCCCCAGTCAATAGGATAAGAGACATTTTACATTCTAGTGGGCTCTTTGTGAGTACATCAGAGAGGAAGCAAGATACTAAAACAAATTAATTGGACAATGCATGGAACAGATCCCTACCCACAGCCACTACAGTCAAAACTACGTAATATTTTCCACCAGCCTTTTTTTTTCCCCTCTAGTTCATAACTTACCAAAAATAAGATACTGGAGGCTGACTTTTCTTGATTTAGAGATTTAGATATCATTTCTGATAGGCTGAATATTAGAAACTTCATCACTAAAAACAGGACCAGGTATTTTGCATAAATATCAAGTAAGGGAAGCAAAACACCCAAATACTGACAAGTTTGTGAAGCTGTTGTCAGGACAGGCTTAGCCAACATGAACAGAACTTTCAGCAGGCATGTAAAGTTCCTAATTAGTTAAAACTATCTGGGTTTGCAGAGCCAATTTAGCAGAAGTTTACTGTGTTCATTGGCTGATTCCTGTGATTTCTGGAAGGCCAGAAGTGTTTAGAAGGGTTGGTTTCTGAAATGGAGAAATCTCTCCCTCCTATACAGTTCTAAGGGATACAAGAACATCAGATGATCATCTAAGGGATTTTTTCTTACTGAATTAAAGCATTTACATCCCTTTTCCACCCTTCTGTGAAAGAGAGGCAGACTGGTGGGGATAGCAGTGAAGGAAGGGCTGCAAATTGCGAAAAAAGAACTTTCCTGGAAGTCAGGAAGGTTTGGTGTTCTCTGCACTGCTTCTGTACATTCCAATGCACCACTAAATATGTACCAGCACACAACAATTCTGCAAAAGTGAAAAACTTCAAGATGAAGTAAAAATAAGTGCACAAAATGCCATGCAACTGCAAAGTCAGCATGAGAATCACTGCAGAAAAAGATGTTTCACTTTTCAATAGCAAATAGCATAGCTCAGTTCACCGAGGAAAGGAGAAAGTTTGGTGTCACATCTGACACCACCAATTATCTTTCCATCAAACCACCTCCTCTTTAAGCCACCTGAAGACAACCCCGTTATCTGAGGCAACAGAATGATATAGAATTTTTCTTTCCTTACGAAAATATATTGGTCATGACAGCAACACATTTGAAAAAGTCATGCTGTGTTTTCCAGGCTGTAACTTTGTCAAATGCAATTTCAATTTTAGCAAAAAAGAAGAGAGCTGAGGTTGCATACAAAGTTTTCATTCCTTCTTCTTTGTGTGGCAGCTTACCAGGAATTTCAGCATCTATTTATGGTCTAAAATTAAGCCAAAGAAACTGGATGACTCTGTGATAGCAGCAGCAGGGTAAGACAGGTCCACATCCACCCCCAAGAGAGCAGAAAAATATTTTTTTAAGAAAAGAAAAACACACCTTTAACAGGCTGTACAGGGGAAACATGCACTGCCACTGAAACACAAGGTAAGAGGACACTGGTGGATTAAATTCAAGCAGATGAAGATATAAAAATTGCCATTTCTACTACCCCAGTTAAGGCATAAGCACATCCTTTCCTGCACCACATTTTAAGACTGAAGACTCCCAAAGAGAATCAACATCTAACATCCAAAATCTTCAAGCAAATATATGGAAGGTAAAAACAAGTACCTGCACTGAAAACTAAAACAGACTTATAAAAGTTTCTACAGTCTATTCACAATTTTTAAAGGGTAACTTAAAACTAAATGACAAGAAAATAACTTTAGTTCCACTAATTTAATAAAGTCGGCTTTTGTGCTAGAGAAAAAAAATTGGTATTTCACATGCAAAGCTGTAATCAACTTCACACTCTTTTTCAGACAATTGCTATTTCAAAAATAAATTAGGACCCTCAACATCAAGCTAGTATCCTTTCAAAAAATAAAAGATAAATCTGTGTGCAATTTTAGAATTAATAAATACATTAAGACCTAGAAGTTCCAGCAGTTTATGCAGCTTTTAATCAAGTCTTTTAACTGAATGACAGTACTTTTATTATGACATTTTTCTGTTCTTCCTTCTAAAAACAGTACACCAAAAAGTAGCAGTATCAAGCTTTTTCTGCAAAAGAAGAATTCCCTCTCAGATTTTCAGATTCTTGACTTTTCACACTTTCCTGAAGCTAAAAAAAGGGTATGGACACAATGTCACAGCAAATTCAACACCACGTCAAGAACTCAGACAGTATTTGGGAAAAAGCAAAAAGGGATCATTAATTTCCTAATTATGGAAAAAGCGATTTCGTGGTGTACGAAATGTACACCCCTTCATGTACAAAACCCCACCTTACTCCTGACACAACAGCATGTTTGAACAAACTTTGCACGTTCAGCAGCGATGTTTTGAAATCAGTCAGACATGGCCTCCTAACTTGCTTGATACTGTTTCCAGAAAAAGAATTAAGACTAAAATAGCAAACCCTGTGGCAAATTGAGCGGCTCCCCTGGCAGCAGGCCAGCACCAGGGGCACCCAGGGATGGGCTCGGCTGCAGAGCCCAGTCTGGACACGAACTGGGAGGGAAAAGCAGCTCCTGAGCATCAGCAGGACAGAGCAGAGATGAATGGAGCCTGTCCCTGGTGTCAAGGATGGGCTGACAGACCTGGAGAGGCTGCAGCTCTCGGCTGTGTTCACAGCAGCCCTGCCTCGGTGAGGGGCTGGAAACCACACTCGTGCTCTCTGCTCCGGGCAGGATTTCACACACGGTGGGTTTGTAGTTTTCAGATTGACATGTGGCAGAGGACTTCACAGTTCCTCGCTGTAATAAAACAGAATATCCACAATAAAAAATCTCCACGATGCCTGGCGTGTGGAGCAGGAAGCTGCCGGGGCTGCCCGGGGATGACTGCACAGGAAGGAAGCAGAGCCTCGCTCCCCATGTGCGGAACCACCCGCAGCTCCCAGCCCGGCCAATGCCCGGGGAAAGGGCTGAGCCACCCCGATAAACTCGGAAGTAAACAAGGCACGAGGTGAGCTCGGCCGGACACAGCGGTGACAACACAGAGCCAGCCAGAACTTGGTGAAAGCACAGCAGCGGCAGGAGCTTGATACTGCTACTTTTGTTCCAGTTAGGGGAAAAAATTCCTACACACCGAACGTGGGTCCCTGATGGCAAACAGCAGCCACCAGCTGCGAGATCATTCCAAGCGAAAGGGAAACTGGCAGGATCGGATAGAGAGTAAATAAAGATAAAGAGACTCCCACACATGAAACTACTCCCAGCCCATATGCTGGTAATATTTTTAATTATCTGTCTCCTTAAGCACAATTTCGAACAAGATCTATCGCCAGGAGGTGAACACAGCAACAGCCCGATGTGAGCCACCATGAGCACCTGTAAACTGAAAGTGAACCTGTGCCGACACCAAAAACCAAAGGATTACATCTCTAGTCCTACGTTATTGGCGCTGAAATGTGCAAATGGTGTCACACATGAAAGCAGGACCTTCAACATCAGTCTGGGGACACAGAGCTGTAGAGACCGGTCTGCCTGCTGTGCCAGCAAGAGCCCGGTGAGAAAGTAAAAACAGAGCAACTGTGCTTCAAGAGGAAAACAATATTCCTAATTATCTTTCCTAATTATTGCCCCTTCAGGAGAACCAAGTCAGAGAGAAAAAAAAAAAGCCAAAAAAACCCCCAACACCTAATTGTGGATCCCAAGATATGAATGCTTTTAGAGAAGCATCTGTATGTAAGAGGAGCACTAAAAGACATCTCAGTTACAGGTCCTGTATTTCCCTACACCAGTCCCTGCTAGATTATCCCTCTAAGCAAAGAAATTTTATGCAAAGCAATTGAGAGCAACTGCATAAAGTTCCATTTATTTTTAAACTTTTCTAAAAGAAAACTAGGTGCCAGTCACCCAAACACTGTTGTTTCTACATAAGATTTCTCACCGCAGAAACAGCCTAACACTAAAAAGGAGAAAACATTGTCTGACATGAACTGCACAAACTCGCACAGTATTAACGTGTATTTCCCCAAAGTGATACTAAACGTCCCTAAGAGAGGTGCTAACCCTTTTTGCAGATCCACCTTTCCTTTGCTCCCACACAGAGCGAGCCTGAGGACACCTAGGGCAGCCCTCCCCTCTCGCAGCCCTCCCGACATGCGGGCGCTTCCCCAGCGCAACGATCGCGGCGCGGCCGCCGGCGAACACGCGGCCAGCCGGGAATCCCAGGATGGAGTAGGGAGAGAGGAAATGGAGACCCCGGTCCGCAGCGGGAGCCGCGCCGGCCTCAGGGCTCGGCAGAGGGAGGGGGGAGCGGGGCAGGGAAGGCGACCCTCCCCTCAGAGGGGCCTCCGGACACGCGGCCCTGCCCGAGGTGGCGGCGGCGCCCTGACCCTCCTTCCTCCCCCAGCCAGCGCGGCCGCCGCTCCAGCCAGGCCCGAGCCGGGGGGGGACGAGGCGCTCCCGGGGCTCCCCACGGGCACGGACCGGGAAAGCCGCTCCGGGGGGAGCGGAGGAGGGAAACAAACCCGGGCAAAGCTCACCGGGTCCGGCGGAGGGGGCTCCCGGGTACATGTCTCCGTGTGTGCGGCGGCGGAGGCAGCGGCGGCGGCTCCAGGGGAGGGCACGGGGGAGGGAGCGAGCCCGAGCCCCGGCTACGCTGTCGGGGGAAGGGGAGGAGGAGGAGGAAGGAAAGGGGAGGGGGGAGGAAAAGAAAAGGGGAGAGGAGAAGAAAAAAAAAAAAAAAAAAAAGAAAGAGGGAGGAGGAGGAGGGCCGGGAATCCAGGTTACTCGTCGGCACTGAGGAGCGGGGAGGGGAGGAGGAGGAGCCGCGGGGTCACGGGGAAGGGGCGCTCCGCCCTCCGGCCGGGCGGGCGGGAAGCGGCCGCGGCAGCGGGACGGAGATCGGAGCGCTGCCGAGCCCAGGGGCCCCGGTCCCTGCTGCAGCCCCCGATCCCTGCTGCAGCCCCCGATCCCAGCCTGCACAGCCCCCGATCGCAGCCTAGAGCCCCCGATCCCTGCCTGCAGCCCCCGATCCCAACCTGAGCCTGCAGCCCCCGATCCCTGCCTGCAGCCCCCGATCCCTGCCTGCAGCCCTCGATCCCAGCCTGCAGCCCCCGATCCCTGCCTGCAGCCCCCGATCCCTGCCTGCAGCCCCCGATCCCTGCTGCAACCCCCGGTCCCAGCCTGCAGCCCCCGATCCCAGCCTGCAGCCCCCCGATCCCAGCCTGCAGCCCCCGGTCCCAGCCTGCAGCCCCCGATCCCAACCTGCAGCCCCCGATCCCAGCCTGCAGCCCCCGATCCCAGCCTGCAGCCCCCGATTCCTGCCTGCAGCCCCCGATCCCAACCTGAGCCTGCAGCCCCCGATCCCTGCTGCAGTCCCCCGATCCCAGCCTGCAGCCCCCGATCCCTGCCTGCAGCCCCCGATCCCAGCCCGCAGCCTCCGCCTGAACTCTGCCCGCAGAGTCACAGAATCAGCCAGGTTGGAAAAGTCCTGGGAGGTCACCGAGTCCAGCCTATGACCGGACATCACCGGACGAGAGCACGGAGTGCCATTTCCAGTCTTTAAACACCTCCAGGGCTGGTGACTCCAGCACCACCCTGGGCAGTCCATTCCAATGTTTAATCACCCTTGCTGTGAAGAAACTCCTCTTAAAGTCCAGCCTAAACCTCCCCTGGTACAGTTTAAGACTATGTTCTGTCATCCTGTGGCTTTCAGTGAGACATTGGAAAATGACTTAGTGCCTCTAGCACTCTCTCCACTACCTCTCCCTACTACATGTTTGAAAGGTATGCTGGAATTACATCGGTATTACACATACTGCTGGATCTTGAATTAAATTTGGATTTGTTTGTTTATATTCTTTTATTCCTCCTGTTGCTCTAAAAACCTCAGCTCAGTTTCCTCTTGAATTCCCATATCCACTTTTAGTCATATCTGTGAAACCCAGCTGTGGTGGGGTTGCCTTATTGTCCTTGTCAAGCAGATAATGTCTGGTACTGTACACGTGTAAAGTTTAGTACCACCAGATAATGTAGTGGGGAAAACAAACTAGAAAGGATATGAAAGAGGCAGAGTGATCAGTATGATGCACTGAGACCCTGGAGATATCCCTTGAGGAATTTAAAATACGTGGATGTGGCACGTGGGGATATGGGTTAGTGATGGGCTTGGCAGTGCTGGGTAAATGGCTGGAACTTGATCTTAAATGTATTTTCCAACTTAAACAATTCTGTGATTCCACATCAGAGATGATAATTCCTGCAGGAACTGTCATCCTTTTGTAGTCACCTAATTAGTACATCTTCCTTTCAGAAAAAAAGTAGGAAAAATAAAGTTAAACTTGCTAAGGAGGCAAAAAGCAAGTTAATGATGCTCCCTTCCACTGGAGTTACCTCCAGAGTTCCAGCACAGCCGTGATCTATACTTTCAATCCCCTCCTCCATGTTGATGTGGAAGCCTTTAAAAAATTCATGCAGTTTTTAACCCAGAACAGTCAAGCCCCATCAAGGTCAACTGAATTCCTTCACCAAGTATTATCTGCCAGAGAGCAAGGCAAACATACAGCTTGTATTTTATCCAATTAATATCCTTCATCAGGTCACATCTCAAGTGATACAGAAGCATCTCACTGTTCCAAAGTATTTACTCTCCCCTTTGGGTCATACTCACAGATATTCCAGGGCTGCTGTTAACAGCTCAGCTTTCACTTCAAGGGAGCTGTTCCTGAAACCAGAGTCACCACTGCAGTTTCCACTGGAGTGATTTTGGATTTGTCTCCATTCCAGGCTTCTCAAATTGCTGGAAAGTAAAGATTTACCCATAACTATAAACAAATAAAGGACAAAATTATGGGTCAACTTTAGTTTTAAAGGAAAGCCAAGCAGCTCTAGCAAAAAGATAAACAAAGGAGCTGGCAAAGGGGTTGCTGTTTTCCTTCCTGTGAGGAACTGGGTAACATTTTTTCACAACCACCAATAATTTCTGGTATATAACCTTACTAGAGGCTGAAAAAGAGGGTGTATGGGGGAAAATCCCCAAAAACAAGAGCCAGAAGAGAATTATCTGAGGCACATTTGGCCTTTCTGCTGAGGTGGCAGGAGAAAAATATGCAGTTTCTGTATCAACATCTAATTTTTGATGCTATATTTAAGCCAGTCTCTTCAACCTGATTAGGAATGTAACTTTCTCTAACATTAGACATACTCTTGTGCCTGTTAGACCTGCATTTAAGAAAGAAAAGGGGATAAAACACACTGACAACTTTCTGGAAATGTTCACTGGATTAATTTGGTCACCCTGGCTATCAGCACTGACATATGCTGAACCTACAAGTCGACTCTGGTACTGTGGTAGCAGTTTGAAAATAATAAGCTAACAAGCATCACAAGACAGGTGAAATATAAGGGGAGGTTTTACAAAACACTAAATACTCATCCCACACTTCCTTCTGGCTCCACAGAATCCTCTGCAATCGATTTCAGAAGTTCCCTAAAAATCAGAGATCTAAAAATGGCAATGAATGCCTCAAACCTCCTAGAGTGCAACATTCTTGTACTGATTTAAAGCTGATTTCTCTGGATTTAGCACTTAATAAGCAAAAGCATTTGTCACTGTTCATACAAGACTGTAGAACTGCACAGTCAGCTAAATATCAAATTAAATTGTTTTATTTAAGCAGTTTTCCCATGTGGAAGTGCTGCTGTTCCTCAGGTATATTTTCATGGTACTGAGCAGTTCCAGCAGCATTTCTGTGCAGCTGAGGAAAGAGACTTCCAGCTCTCTTCTGCCTCTGTTCACACACTCATTTTGGGCCATGTCACTTGCTTCATTTCCAATGCTTTCTGTCACTCACAACTGCTGTTTTGGAGCACAGTGAAACCTAATTATGTCTTACTGGGCCATTTCACCCAAAAAAGGCTCCAGTTCTTGAAAAGGTTTGTTCTGAAAGAGAGGTTTGAAAGCTCTATAACAGCATTCTTTTAAGCATGGTCTTTATATGCTGTATTAACAATTATATAGTAGTGTAAGAACAGCTGCTTAAATGCTTAAAATTAGGGTTTTCTAAAGAAAAAAAAAAGAGTGATTGTTGGGCACAATACCTGTCTTAACTGCTGTATTTCAAGATGACATTTCCCAGAACTGATATCTGTCACAGAAGAAATTATTAATTTTGGAAAAAAGCACATTCTCATAATTCTGGAAGCAAAGATGGTATTTAGGAGCAGCATTTAAAAATCCTTTATAGCAGTGGCAGCAATTTAGGGAAAATATTTTATATACAAATAGGCCAGTGACAAATGATAGAGCTTTTCTTTTGATGAGAAAACATAACTTGATCTCCCTAAGTAACAACTATTCCCATTTTAAATGGAATTAATTTTAAACCCCCCCAGAGTTTATAAATGTCTGACAGTCAGTGATTACAATGATACATTGATTACAATGATAGCAAAAATTTTCACTCAGAGCTGGAAGATGTAAATTTTATTCTTGACTTGGAGGGGATTCAGGCTTATATTTTCCATCTCTCAACTGGCCTAACTTTTAAGATGTTATCCTGGAGTACATGCATGAGACCTGTCACATATTCTGCATTCTGCTTTACATAAGAATTTAAAATCAGAACCAAAGTGAAGAAGTCCATGGCTCTGTGCCCTAAAGTGTTCACATTTTACAAAGACTTTGAGGGTTCTGGTCCCCTGCTCAGGAATTGTTTGTTATTTTAAAAATTAAATATTTATCCACAATTAATCCAAGGTTGAGGGACCAAAATAATTTCTTTTTGAGTTTCTATAATCAGATAACTATCCCAACTACCAAGCTACAAAGCTGCATTTCACTTATTTTCTCAAATGAATTGCAATAATAATTTCTAAAAAAACAGAACAAAACAAAACAACTAATTGTCATTAGATTACTAACTTCAGTTCATTCAAAAAGACAATTTTTCCAGGTGATCAGGATCAACAATGTAACAATTCAACTTGATGGAAAAGATGCAGCACCACCTATTGGGGATGTGCTACACACACTGGTTGTTACAGTTTCAAGAAGTACCAGAGTTTTGTTCTTTATTGTAATGACCTTGTTACAAGGGGGAAAAAACCCAAACCAAAACAAAAAAACCAACCAAACAAAAAAACCCACAAAACCAAACAAAACCCCCACAAAAACAAAACCAGCCAACCAACCAACCAAAATAAAAACCCCAAAAAACCCCCCACAAAAACAAAACAAAACAAAACAAAAACAAAAAAAACCCAACTAGGAACAAAAGGACTTTCCAAAAAGAAGATAAAAGAAGTAATGGTGTACCTGAGACTGTTCACCAAGAAAAAAGCCCTAATGTCCCTAAGTGCCACATCTAGATGTCTTTTAAATACCTCCCAGGTTCTTGGCTCAATCCCTTCCCTGGCAGCCTATTCCAATGCTTGACCATCCTTTCCATGCAGAACTTTTTCTTTATAGTGAATCTAAACTTCCCTGAGCACATCTTGAGGTAATTTTCTCTCATCCTAGCATTAGAAGAGACCAACCCCCACCTGCCTTCAGCCTCCTGTCAGGCAGCTCCTTCCCTCCCCAGCTTTGTTCCTGTTCTTCAGACAGGCTCCAATGT